TTCATTTCGCAGGTTGGATCCGGCGCCCTCATTCCGTTAGGTGAATTTAGACTCCTTTTTTCATTGACCTGTTGCCTGATCTTTCGGTTTTTTCTTTCAGAGTTGTGCGACGTGCCTCCTGGTCAACTGATGCGCAAGCAGGTTCCCCCCGAGAAGACAAAGGACGTGTAAGTAGTCAGCACATGACGATTACAATGGACTAAACTGCATACTCCCTTATTCAGGCTCGATTTTGCAACCAAGAAGCCTCTCGACCGTCTGCAGAGCATCAAAAATGGCATTAGTGTGCGTCTAAGCCCTTCTCTTCCAACTGCTATGTCTGGACTAACTTTTGAAAGGTTCTCGACTATGGCCAATCCGAATACGTTCGCCAATTCGGCATGAATGTCAATTGTGCTATGGGCCCTCTGAAGGTCCAGGCCAGGGTCTTGAAGCCGCCCAAGTTGAAATACGGCCCTGGTTCTCGCCAATTGACTATTGTGAGTTTCTCCTTGCGTGAGCTCTATTGTACCATCTCGCCACTGTTTTCTAGACCCCTCGTGACGGCGCTTGGAATATGGTGGACAAGAAGTTCTTCAAGCCTGTGGCGATCGAACGTTGGGTCGTGGTGATTTACGAGCAACAAAGACGATTCAACGACCAGTCCGCACAGGACATGATAAGTCAGTGCCTTTTCCCCTCCATTTCCATGAGAATCTCACTTTGCGTAGATGGGCTCTGTGGTAGCTGTCGCGATGTTGGTATGTTTAAGTGTCTCGAGTTGGATCTAATTTGTGCTTATATTTGGTAGGTATCAAGCTTGCCCCTACGCCCTTCATCTTCTGGGAGAACGGGCAAGGACGCATCGCGGACCAACTCCGGGTACCTTTCTTTGACTTTCCGAGTTTCAACTTCGAACTCAGCATTTTCCAAGGCGGCGGGTGCCGCTTGCGCACAGAAGATGCAGAAAGGGCCTCAACTTATTGTTGTGATTTTGGTAATGCCATCCTTCTCCGATTCAACTAGCATTCACCACACAAAACAGCCCGAGGGTGGGAACGATATCTACACCAGGTACTACCCAGCATGTTCTATCTCGCTCCAGTCGCTCATACATGAACACTGTCAGCGTGAAACACTTTGGAGACGTCACCGTAAGTCTCTGCTTTGTTGTTTGCACCCAGCACAAATGTTCTGTTTAGATGGGCGTCGCGACGCAATGCCTCAAGGTGAATTTCAATTCTGTCTTTGTGATTATAAAACCGACTTCCATTCCCCAAGTCCTCCAAATGCTACCGTGCCAAGCCGCAGTACTACGCAAACGTTTGTTTGAAGTATGTTCCATCCGGGATGATGTTTTCTATCCTCACTATATCCTAGGATTAATGTGAAGCTCGGCGGCATCAACACTATCCCAGGTAAGATATGTTGGCACTATGCCACTCTGAGCTCATTTTCACAGACCCGAGCTCGGTCAGTGTCCTCACCGACCCGCACAACCCGACGATTGTCATGGGTGCGTTCGTTCCATTTTCTCATTTCTCTTCGTTTCTCACGTTGGTCACTTGTAGGCGGTTCGTTGATATATTGTTGTACTTTTGCAACTGCTGACAATCCCGGGCTTCTATAAATTCAGCCGATGTAAGACGCACAATCTTCCATTCTTCGCGCCTTGTCCTGACGAACACCCGACTAGGTTATTCATCCTGCACCCGGCTCCGATGGTCGCCCTTCCTTCACCGCTCTCGTTGCCAACGTGGACTCTGATACCGCCAAGTACATTGCCGCCAGTCGCGTCCAGACATCTCGTCAGGAGATGATCGAGGAGCTCGAGGCCATGAGCGAACATTGCCTCTCGATGTACATGAGGTCGGCATTGACCTCGCACCGCTTTTCGCAACTTGACAACGTTTTGTAGGTATCGACAGATGGCCGAGCATAAGGCAGCCGGGACCACTGCTCCGAAACGCATCATTTTCTACCGCGGTGCATTCTTTTGTTTTCCTTCGTCACTTTGTTTGAGGCTGATTTCTTTTAGATGGCGTCTCGGAGGGCCAGTTCAAACAAGTCCTTGAGCAAGGTCAGAATCATTCATTTTCTTTTGCTATATGTACTTACCATTGCATAGAACTGCCGCTTATCAAGAGTCTGTTTCCATCTTCCTATCCCGACGTTCACTCATTGTTCTTCTCGTCAGAGGCTTGTGCGAGCTTGAAGATCAACCCGAAGATCACGATCCTTGTCGTGGGCAAGGTACGTCCTCCGCTCCGTACTACCATCCAGTTGCTGAATCTTCCTCGCAGCGGCACCACGTTCGGTATGGCCGCGTACTGTCGCCTCGCCATCTAAATATTTCCTTCCAGATTCTTCCCGATGAGCGAGCGCGACGCCGACCGCAGCGGCAATTGCAGGGCCGGCACCGTTGTCGACCGTGATGTCGCCCATCCTACTGAGTTCGATTTCTATCTTCAGGCGCACGGAGGGCTGCTCGGTAAGTTTTCATCATCTCTGCTATGGTTCACTAACATGTCTCCTAGGCACCAGCCGTCCTGCTCACTACTCGGTCCTCTACGATGTACGTTTCCTCTTCCGAGTTATCGCATTTACATAAACTCACCGACCTCACAGGAAAACAACTTCAGGTACGAATCGTTACATATTCGTGTCGATCCTCTACTGATATGCCCTGCAGTGCCGACGCGCTGCAGTCGCTTTCCTTCGCTCTTTGCCACGTATATGCGCGCTCGACTCGCTCCGTGTCGATCCCGGCGCCGGTGTACTGTACGTGGCTACTTCCTGCACTATCCTCTTCCCCCTAAATTCTCGGCAGACGCCGACATCGTCTGTTCGCGTGCGAAGAATCACTACGACCCCCAAGGAACTATCGATTTCAGCGATAGCGCCACGCAAGTCGACGGTTCGTGTCCAGCATTTTCTGATTGAAAGTCACATTTAACCTGGATTTCTGTATTGCAGAGGGCCAAGCAGCCTCGTCCCTTGAGCAGTTCAGACGCGGCTTCAAGCCTCTTCACGCATCGCAGTCGACTTTAATGTATGTGATTTTTCTCCACTTCTCTTTTCTTTCCCGACTGTTCTTGCAGGTATTTCTCTTAAGGTTTGTTTTCTTACCCTCGCTTTTCGTGCTTGACGTTCTCCTAGTAATCTACAATTATCTTGCCGGCAGTTGCGCTGCTGTCGATCTAAAAATGCTCCATGTACTTCTACGACGTCTCAATCACAATTCATGCCAGTGCTTCACCTTTTGTGCTGAATCTGTGGCACATATCCTTTCTCGAACGCCGCGTACAACAGTTTTTTCAGCTTGCTTCTGGCAAATCGAGCCCGGAAGTATTCTTCGCGCTGATGCGACATCACCATAATGCTCCAGGTTACCGCAACACGTCAAATTTCCTTTCTTCCTAACATCTCATCCGTTTTGCATGTTCCACTAATCCTGTTACCTTTGTTCTTCGGCCGTCCGCCGCCGAGTCGGACGTCAGCCTGAGGAGAGTCGAGGAGAAAAGAAACCTCTTCAAGAACTCAATTCTCTCCTCGTGTCTCTTGCTGTAACTATGTCTTTCATTTCTGCACTCACTGCGGGGGGCAAAAAAACTTTCCACGATGGAAAAGGGCATTGCAGAATGGCGCATTTTCATTCCTTTGTCCACTCGGAAAATGTCCCATTCTCAATGGCTCTTTTCCTTTGTGGAAAAGTTCTCGGCCCCCGCAGTGACTAACACCCTCCGAGAGCTGAGAACCCCATTTCTTCGTTCTAGTTCTAGTGTGCTTCGTTCACGTCAAATTCACGTCTACGATTGATTCCCGCCCCGATGACATCACGCGAATTTCTTCCTCGAGCTACCATGTCCTCGTCTGAATTTCAGCTTCCCAGCTTTTGCTTAGTGCTGCTAGAATTTCTCTGGTCGCAGTTGGACTGCCACTGGGTCTCGGCCTTCTTAGCGGTTATCCTACCGCTAAAGTGGTCCAAAGTGACTGGTACAAGGCGGGCAAGTCCGCGAACCTCGTGTCATGCCACTGAGCATCCCCCAGAATTTACGCACTCCTCCTGGTCGTCCCCCGCGCCAGGTTTTCCCCATCGTCTGGCCGCTCCTATATATTTGTGAGCAGCTTGAGATGCGCATCCGGTGTTGTAATGACGGTCTGCACTCGGAGCCATGGGTTATGCTTCTCATCTCGTAGTGCAAACATTCGACGGCGCATCCTCGCGATCCGTAAAGTGGATCTTTTTTTCTGTGTAATTTCGAGCAAAATATTCACCGTGAACAAGATCCGACTGCATGCTGGCTCTTTCCTTGTATTATACGCAGCTGGGGTTGAACATCATCTGGTCGCCCTTGTTTTTCGGAGCTAAGAAGGCCAGTTCTTCAAGTGCACCAGCATTAATTACAACTGTAACTCCAGACTGGTTTTGCTCTGATTGACATTGGGATGATGGCAGCAACCACATTTTATATGACCGTAAGGCTCTTTATCCTCCCGGTGACATGTTTTTCAACAGCTTGGTTCAGAAACTGCTTTCCTCGCATTGTCCTGCAGCATCGTACTTGCTTTTGCCGTCCGTCTAATTCCCTTTGATCTACCACCCACCGCTCACTCCATTGACAGCTATTGCATGTGGCTTTCGTTTGCGACTTATCTCAACGGAGGAATCTGGTGGTTGAACCGCGCGGAGCACAGGAAAAAGGAATAGTTAAAGTAATGAGGGTCTTCTGTTGAAGAAAAATGAAAACTACGGTTATTGCTCAAATTCTGGCACGCACTCTAAAAACAGGACGTGCGCTCCCTTATCCTATAATTTCTGTCCCACAACTTAGCAAAGACCCCTCATGGCAAAGCTCGGACGATGTTCCTGCCCAGAATCGAACACACGACCTCCCGTTTGACTCAAACTCATCCGCGCTTTGTAGGCTTCCAGACACTTCGTCAAGAGCGCCAATGTAAGGAGTGGTTTTCGACAAAGAAAAAAGAAGACTGCTCAAGTTCCACGCACTGTAAAAAGCAGGTCGTGCCCGGAATCGGACCGGGGTCGCCAGAATTTTCCTAGTTCGATTCCGGGGACGACCCGAAGCGACACATCATCAGAATCTGGAGTGATAACCGCTACACTACACAACCTATACTTGGCCTTGAAAAGATATCGATCCAGACCCACAGATATCGATCACCTTACACAGTCAAGAGGCAGGCTGGCCGCCACAGGATCAGCTCAGTCAGTGCGCCGCTCGCTCTAGCTGTACATGGCTCATACCTCATCCCTATGCGAACTGGCACTCAACACCGGTGCCGACACAGCAATGTTACAGGAACCTCCAAGCTCAACACATGTTCCTTCGTGAGTTTTATGCGCGGACTCCTTCGTCGGTCACTCAGGCAACACTCAGGTCAAACCCGCATCCAACATTTGCTATTCTGTTCACGGAAACAGGGCAAATGCCTGTGCACATACGCGTCCACTGACCTCTTTTGCCGCAATACGTGCCGCCGTAGCAGATTCCTCGGCTGTGCTCGTGTCTGCATCCATCAGACCATCCACAGCAATATTGACATGGCAATTGGCCGACCACAAAAGCCCGAGTAGATCCCGCAGCTTCAGAGCCAGCTCCTTTATTTCCCCGGCCATATCCTCAATCCGAAAATCCTTCTGAACGATTCTGGACGTTTTTTGAAGCTGAAAGAAAGGGAGCCATAGTTGTCCTAACTCTGGGTTGAACCTTCTGGACCTTCTACCAAATTCATACCTTCCTTCCCTAATAGTTCTTCAAACGCTGGGTTTTATTCGACGTGCGTATTTTGCTCTCAAGCATCTGCCATGCTGACGGAGAATCAGAAAAATGCCGAACTCGAAGAGCTGTACAACTTCGAGGCTAACGTTGAGTTCACTACCGTGTTCGAGAAGGGATCGGGTATCAACGACACAGAAAATTACTTGGAAGAGGTCGAACGGCGAACATTTCGTGGCGACGTCTGCCTCGCGAGTCGCTTGTGAACAAAGGTTCTCGAGAACGAGCAGCCGAATCATTGCTTTGGCGCAGTGGCCGTAACCTGAAGTAGCGAGACTCGTCGCGTTCATTCCAATTTCCCTAATCATGGCTAACGGTTGATAGCACAGCCACTTGCCTACGATGAGCTTCCGAGCGGCGAGAATCAATTTAAGCCTTTGCATTCTTGCTTCCACATGCGTCTCGTTTCTGCCCCTCAATCCAGGACTACTACTGCCCAACGTGTCCGACCTCTATACCTCGTCCAGTTATTTAACCTAACCTCGCGTTAATACTTCACACCGGTACCAGGGCTTTCGGAAATTAAATCAATGCATCCTTGGCATGCTAAAACATGAGCCACTGATGTACTTAAACAGGCTATGAACCCGGGTTTAACAGTCCCTTTCTTTACTTTAACCTAACAAAGAGTCCTTTGCTTTGTTATCAAAGAGTCTCTAACAGTGCTTTGGCGACACAACGATTTAATCTTGCGTTTTTCTCTCCCTCGGACCGCACTCTGACTCGTCTCGCAATGCATCGCGGAATGAGCTACCGCAAGCCTGTTCCTGTCTACATCCCTTCTCCTCCTCACTCTCCTTGTACGCCCCAAATCTTAAGCGCTGGTCGCACACCGGAGGTCAGACCACCGGTAATTCTACTAGCCTTGCAGTGGCATCCGGTTTCATTAACTCCGAAAAACCTAAAGCTACCGGAACACTGGCACGATGCTATAGCGCAGGCGCGAGGGATCTACGACTCGGACGCGGCTCTCTCTACTTCCCAAAACTTGGTCAGAACGCCCGCAGATGGCTCGTCGGATTGCAACGATGTAAACAGCGGTCGTATGCACTCCGAGCCCTCAACAATTCCACCTCGAGAAGCTCATCCCTTACCTCGACTCGCTTCGCCGGTTTACTTTGCCTCAAATTCCAGGAATACTGGGGTGGGTCAACATCAGGTGTGTCGGAACCCAATCTGTTCGTGGGACTGAAAGTACAACGCCCAGCTAGATTTATCGGCCGCCGACGCCCCCTCGTCCCAGCGACCACAAGTGGCGTGGGCTCTTAGATGACATCGAGTCCCCAAATCCTTCCGAGGTACTTTCATCTTTTGTTCGATGCTCTTGGTTCACACGAATCCCCGATAGGACCAATTGAACCGAAGACCGAAATTTGTCGAGATCCCAGTGTGCAGGTCAGAAGGAATGTATGCGTGGTCCATCGGAACGGCGGAGTCGTACTCCAGGCATGCATCATCAATATCTTTGCCATCTTCGGGATGGCAGGTTACGGACCAGCCAAAAGACAGTAACAGTCACGACCAGCCGACAGTGTGGTGGAATACATTCAAGTCTCTGGTTGTCTTGATCAGAAACAGGATAAACGGTTTCAAAGAGCATGGAGCATTTTGCTGAGCTGTCGAGGCCCATTTTCAGGACCGCCCGTATCAGATTAATGTGTTCTTGAAGTAAATTCTTATAGTTGTGTGTGCACTGTGGTGGTAAGGAAGATTGGTCATCGATCAGACATCAAACTCTGAACCGTACATAAACGGTCTGCTCCAACGCTCTGCACCAATGCTTCTATAAGGAGGGGCTCTCCCCGATCCTTTCTGCTGCGAAGAGTCAATTATTTGACGCGTAATGGGCGAGCAGGACAAGGAAGAAAAGCAGACGGGAAGAGAAATCTTTGACGCTAGCGACTCTGGAGCTGAAGATCGGCCGTTTATTCCCAAATTGCGGTCGGATCCCCTTCCAAAGCGCCCCCCGCGCTCGCTCGAGGAATTCAGGAAGGTCCGTAATCACGGGAGCGCTCTACGTTCCCGGTCTGAAAAATGGATCGCATTGTGCGCTCTTAGGATGAAGGCCAAGAGAATCGCAAGCGGCGGCTGAAGGAACTATGGCGCCAACTTCATGACAGCGCCAAAAAGTCTCTACCAATCCAGAGTGCTCATACCAATGTCGGGCTCACACCGGAGGCCGCCCAGCGCCTGATTACTATGTACGAAACGGAACTGCTAAGGAAATGTGGGGGCCATAGTTCCTCGACGTCACCTATGGGTGGGCTCGAGTGGAAAGAGTTCAAAGAATATGCTTTGGCAAAGGAGACAGGTGCGTGTGTTTTCCCATGCCTTTTTACACTTCTTACTCGCTGGAAGAACTCTGGGGAATATTTCACGACGAGCTTGATTTGGACGGCAATGGGCATCTAGACGCCAATGTAAGCGGAGTAGATTTTTTCTTCAGTTCATTTCAGACGAGTACGCCAGGAATTGAGTATGGCTTTGACCAAAGTCGGTGGGTTCGGCATGGTTCTCCACATTTTTGGTGGCGCTGACCCAAATATAGGGATTACCCTTTCAACCGCCAAGGTTTCGGAATTCATGACTTTTCTGACCGCGTCGCCGCATTCGCATTCGATCAGTTTTGCTGAATTTCGCGACTTTCTCCTCCTCCTGCCCATGAGGGCTTCACCGGCGGAAATTTATCGTTATTATGAGATGAGAAGGTATCTCGGAGACGATGCCCGTGGGGCAGCTCGTGTTACAATGGAAGGTACGACAAGGTGGCGTTCTTTTAGCCAATGATTCACTTTCACTTGCTACAGGCGATGTCAGCTTGAGCGCCGAGGATCGTCCGACGATTCACTTGACGGTAGAGGCTTCCAATGCCGCTCAACTCGCACACAAATTGAATGCTGGGCACACGCAGGAGGCATTAGAAGAGGAGGAGGAAGATCCCCACGCCCAGGATTGGCTCGAAGGGCACACTGCCCTGAAATTCTTACTTGCAGGTGGCATCGCAGGGGCCGGTGAGTGTTGCAGCACTCCGCGTTCATCTACCTTCAAGGTCTTTGTAGTCAGTCGAACATGCACGGCCCCCTTTGATCGCCTCAAGATATTTTTGATTACCCGTCCTCCAGACCTGGGAGGGGCTACTCTTACGCCTAAACCAACTATCGGTGGTGCGAGAATAATTGCCAGTGCAGTCGCCCGAATATATGCTGAAGGAGGCGTGCTTGCCTTCTGGACTGGAAATGGACTTTCCGTCGCGAAGATAATGCCCGAGTCTGGTGAGTGGCGTTTACTCTTTTTCTCTCGGACCGTTCACAGTACACCAGCAATCAAATTCTTCTCGTATGAATCATCAGTACTTTCGTCCCCACATCCAAAGAATGTGCATAATAACTTGACCTTGTCATGTAGAAACGCGCTTTTGCGAAATACTGGGACAAAGTGGACGATTCACGCGACATCAGTGGTGTTAGTCGCTTTATGTCTGGTGGTATTGGAGGCATCAGCAGCCAACTGAGTAATGCCATTTCCTTTTTGCTGCTAATTCCATTGACGAAATGCTTTCAGGCATATATCCCATTGAGACGCTCAAGGTCTGTTTGTTGTTGCGGTTACATCTCATGTGTTCACAGAGAATTAGACGCAAATGATGAGCAGTGCGGGTCAACTGAAGGGTGACTACGGCGATCTTTACCTTCAGGTTACCCCTGACTCTCGTATTCAGCCCAAGGCCGGGTGGACGCACTCAATGTAATTATTCTTCTGAGCGAGTAACCCTATATCTCACCAATTTCCTACAGAAACATGGTCAAACCAAACTCCTCGCCGCAGCTCGCCATCTCTGGGCCCTTGGTGGATTCCGCGCGTACTACCGGGGATTGACGGTGAGCTTGCATTGCCTACTTGCACCGTCGGCGAGAATAACTCATTTTTGTATCCAGATCGGACTCGTCGGTGTCTTCCCGTATGCGTTTTCCATTTCTAAAGAAGTGACTCTGAATCTTGTGCACATTAAATAGATATTCCGCGATTGACATGAGCACCTTCGAGGCGCTGAAACTCGCCTATGTCCGCTCGACGGGCAAGGATGAGCCTGGTGTCCTCGCGCTGCTCGCATTCGGCAGCATATCGGGCAGCGTCGGCGCGACGAGCGTGTACCCGCTTAACCTGGTGCGCACGCGGCTACAGGCCTCGGGCTCTACGGGCCACCCACAGAGGTATACCGGCGTGTGGGACGTGATGAGCCAAACTTGGGAGCGGGATGGGTGGCGCGGTTTCTATAGAGGACTTGCCCCGACCTTAGCGAAAGCGAGCACACTCCCGGATTTTTCGTGGGCGCTG